GGCATTGTGATCTGTTCTGAAGTCTGGGAAGTCACTAATGCACTAGAGTATCGGTCTAGGTACACTACTGTTGATGGTTCTTAGACTTTGAATGTCACCTTGCTTGACTGAAAACGTTCTATTCTGTAGGAATGATTTTACGCATTGACTGCTGAGTTTTTAAAACGCTTTAAATTTGCATAGTGTTCTTTTCGACATTGCTGTCGGTAGAAATTTAAATTACTAAATTTTATTGCAGATTTCTTTTTTCCATGGTCAATGCAACTTATATACCGAGCTTATATACCAAGTTTCAACGAAATAGGTCAACCAGAATGGGTTCCACGTAAGTTTAATTACGCGGAGTTTAATTTAATTTTCATCACCCTGTTTATTTCCCAAGTAATAAATTTCCACTTCTAGTGCTATCTTCACCTGTATAACGTATTATTGTTTCACGAATTTGCAACATTTTACTTTTGATGTCATATGTAGATAAGGATTAATAGAAATCATCTTTCAACTTTCAGTTCTTTTACTGGATGTTTTTAAGGTACTTTAATACTATGTTATAAATAAGACAGATATAACTTAAACTTCGGCATAAAAATGATTGCTGTAACTGAAATGCGAGTACTCATTTCCATTAAAAAGATATCGCATTTTTTTTTTGTTTTCTTGGAGATTGTTAAATTAATAAATATAAAAATTTTTAATTCAATAGCTTAAATTTAAGTGCTCTTGCCAGTATGGGTTATGATGCGATTATCTAGAGAATTGTGTTAAATAAAAAATCATAATTTCGAAACAGTTTTCAAAAATATTTTTCGAATAATATTCCAAACTAATTGAAAAAAAAAAAGGTTATACTTCTAATTCTCCACGTAAATGAAACAAAACTAAAACTAAATATTTGGTTCAAGTTGCGGTTTGTTTTTGGAATTGAAATTGCAAATGGTTCAAAAAAGAAGAATGTAAATGGTGCGGAAAATGAAAGTATGAACTTCTTTTGTTCCCTGGAAAAAGAATTATATCGAACGCAAAGTACTAAATTGTGCTTTTCAACTCAAGTTCATTTTAATAATGAGAGAAATTCTTTGAATTCCTGTCCTTTGCATTATTTATGAATAATTCATTTTTTTTCTTTTTTTGGATTTCAATCTTGGGTTAGCATTTAAACATAATTTTATGAAATATTTTAACATAATTCATATCAACGTTTTTCTAAATTATTAATGACACTAGTATTGTAGCCTTTTACGATAAAAGTATGATCTGTTTGCAAATGCTGTCAGCCGGCCAGTGATTCGGTGGTTAAAACTGTGAAATGCTGGTAATTCACGATGCTTTCCATCTTGAATGTTAAATAGGCTGTTATCAAGAGATTTGCGTGATTTTTCTCATGTTTGACGTACATTAATTTAGCTCTGGTGTGCCATAGTTAAACCCAATTAATTCAGACTAGCCTCAGTCAAGAGAAATAATTTCTTGCATTTTTTCTGAAATGCTAAAATATAAAACACAAAAGCGCTTACAGAATGGCAGTTTGCGGTCTAAACGGGATAGTTAGTGACACCTATTATCGAGCAGAAGGGCCCAGGTTTGAATCCCGTATAAGGAATGGATTTGTATAAATGTATAGTGTCTTCGTGGCCTAGGAGCATTCTAAATAAATTGAAGCACAGAAAGTTCTCTCATGTGGTTTGGGTGGCAGGGGATGAAGGGAGGGAGACTCTCGGAACCATCTCCCCCCCCCGGAGTGCTCTTCCTCAAAATTGGGGTGGAATTAAGCAAAATCGTACTGTCACCTATATGATGCCCGAGGCGTTTGCCAACGTCAGGCAGTCTTCTACTGCTGTCCACGATGAATTTCGTAGGTTTGTTTTGATAAAGTCAAACAAGTGAGATTAATCATAACAACAACAATAACAGCAGTTTTCGGGCAAGAGACATATGTAACCATCTGCCATTATACGTAGAAATTTTATACTTTTTACGTATTTCTGGGTTTTATTTATCATTTATTTAGTCGTGTTATTTATTTACTCATATATTTATTTATAAGCAAATAATAAGGTTTCATATCTCGTTATTTCTTTATTCGACTATGTCCTACATGAAGTCATTTCTGTCTGTCCCATTTACAACAAAGCATATTACACAGATAACTCTAGTATGTTTTGTGGCAAGTCATTGCAGTGCAAACTTTAATTCTTTATTCTTTACAACAATCAAGGGCATTTCAAAAATAAGACTTTGTTTTCATTTTTCGTTTTCTTTTGAACTTTCAGCATTTTAAAAATGTGAAATGGATTCTGGATGTATTTTTCATTTACTTTGTAAGGTATTTCTGCTGCCTTTTTAGCGTGCCTTCGTGGAGTAGTGGTCAGCACACTGAGCCGGTATTTCAGTGGTTTGATTCGCGGCGAAGGCGATTGCTAATTTTTCATCTTTTTTGCTTCTAAAAGTTACCTAATGTCTCTACAACTTCATGTGATTTTTTAACACCTCCTCGATCTCAACTACTATTTAAAGTTTATAGATATAAATATTATTTTATAAACCCCATATACACACGTTTCAATGTAATTACTTCTGAGAAATGTCAAAATGTGATTAAGGAAACAATAATTGTCATTGATTACGAAATTTATAAACATGGTAAGCCAAACGATGATGAAATAATTATTTAGAATAAGAAGAGCAAGGATTGAGCTGTTTACTGAATTTTTATGTAGGAAAGTTAATGTTACTATACAGCATAATATATCATAAAATTGTTATCAAAATATTACATCAAAATGTAATTTAATTCTTAAAATGGATATATTAATAAATATACTGCCTTAATGTATATATAACAGAAGAATATAGCGGACCATTTTACGTATAGAGCACTCATTTGTGCAATACTTTTAACCCTTTTGTTTAAGGTTTGGTTTCATAAAGCATAGTAAATATTTCCTAATCGAGGATTTTGCTATAAGTGAACCATAAAAAAAGTTACTTTTATATTTATGGAGCTTTCTAATCATAATACTGGATAGGTTTTCATTAAATATCTCTACCTTTTTCTGAAATATGTTGTGTCTGGAATCATACTCGATATTGCAGGAAGTGAAGCGTATAAGCGACTAAATATCTCATGAACGATTTGTTGCAGATCAGTGGATTCAACTTACAACTGAAACAGTTTCTGCCAGTTGATGTCACGTATTCTTTACGTGACATCAATGGCAAAAATATACGAAACTCTAGCTTTTTTACAGGTTGTTTACTAAGAATATCCATTTATAGTAAATTTTTACTTATCCTACTATCAATATTTTAGAAAATAAATTTACTAGTAATATGCAAAACTAATAAAAAAATTCAAATTTATATGACTTAAAGCCCTTATATCCAAAGCAAAATCATCAATTTATGAGGATGATATCCTATAAATACATACAAAATTTCGTATTGAGCTTTTCCGTAAATCGTAATTTTAAATTTTTGTTTCCACTTTAATATTTTTATGGTGCAAAGATGTACATATATTTACCCCTCCAAGTAGTTCAATGGATAACACCACATAACGTTAGTCTTTCTTGACTCATGTATTAAATTACAAGTGTATGGCCATTTAAAACATTGGTACTTTGACCTGAGTTAAAACGAAAGCAAAAGAGCTGGCTGAATGGGCATTTTTAGGCAGTTTCCAATATATAATAGGATTTCAAGCCAAATTTACCTCAGAAGGCCCTCCATAAGGGCATCCCTTCGTTAAGCAGATAGCACTGGAATATTAAGTATTTTTTCCCATAATTCAATAAATTGGAATTTGAATGTTAAAACCTATCTTCTAAAATTCAGAAACGGAGACTTAGACGCTTTCCGGCTCTGGAAATTTTAATTAAAAATATCTCATGTAATTTTTGTAGTATGAGAATGGATTTATTTAGAGCTAATAAGGCTGCAAAAAACACGTTTCTCATTTATAGTTTCCTGCAATGAAGTCCACATAAAATTTTATACACTTTTACTAAAACGTATCACAGGACTACAGAGGTTGTAGTCTGAAAACTATTTTATTTAATTTATTCCTTAACCTGAATTTATGGCTCTAAGACCAATCTTTAAAGAAAATTCAGCCATTCTATCTCTTGAAAATACACCATATGTAAGAAAGATATTCTATTATGACATATGGAAATGCTAATTTCGAAAATCTTGTTGTTGTTGTGTTGTTGCTTGTGTTTACTTGTCTGACGTAGTCAGTCCAAACCCACGAAATTTCTTGTGGCAAGGAGCGCTAGATTACACCTGCTGTTGGCAACAGCCTTGAGCCCCATTCAGGTGATTCCGTCCCCAATTTTGAAGGAGAACACCCCGGAAGAACGGAACCGAGGATTCCCCACCCCTCTCTCCTTCCATCAAACCACACGAGAGGAATTTCGGTTCGCCGCATATTTATAGTGCCGCCATGTCGCACCGACACTATACATTTACAAATATCCATGCCTTCTAAGGGATTCAAACCGGGCCCTTCGGCAAGGCAGTCAGCGACGCTAACCACTATATCGGTTGGACGACCCAAAATCTTTTACTGCTTGAACATAAGTTTACTTCTGACATAATATTTCACAATGAAGATACATTACAAGAAACATATTCATATTTAATGTACTAGATGTCTTTAGATGCAAATTTACTACTCTGACTTTCTTAAAGATTTTATTTTTGGTGTATGGGAGTGAAATGCTAAAAGGGAACCAAACCGAATTATTGCTCTTATCTGCAGATTCGGGTCTTCCAATAAACTTAAATTATGTTCAGTTCCAGGTAAAGTCACTATTTATATTGACCTTTTTATTTATATGTAATGCCTACTTTGCTTTAATATATGAACATTGTCAGTTTGAACATTTTATGGGGTATAATTAATGAATGCATTTTACATGTAACAAATTTGAATCTTAATAGTTATAAAAGATAGTACATATGTGACTGAGAGCATGTTATATTTATTTTCAGGGTTAGATAATAAACTATCTGACGTCGATAACATGCCGTATACTACATTGCTGTATGCAAATGGACCTGGATACAATCGAGATTTTCCAACAGGAAGAGAAAACTTGACAGGAACTAATACAGGTGAGCTGAGCTTAAGTGTCCTTTATTATATCTTAAAATAAATTCATTTCTAGGAAGCTGAATCATTTTCTTTGACCTTATAACCTTCAGGCAACGCTTTTCTAATAACCTGTTGGATTGTGAAAATAATTTATTAAAAAGAGAAATCAGTGTAAAGATAAAGGGAAGAAATCAACCATGGCTGAGGCTTACGTTTGAATTTTCCAAACTTATATAAGCCAAATGATGATTGATTTTTCAACTTACAACGGATAGGTAGCTACAAATGAAATAAATAAAATTACTTGAACTTTACAAAATTAAATTTTTTTCAGTTATTGTACAGCGCGGAAGTATTTCATATTTTGCATGTATAATTGAAATTAGGTTTTAAAGTTAAATATTAGGAAGACCAAAACAAAATACCAAGTAAATTTAAATATAATTTTCATAGCTCGCATACCATTGGTAATTATTGTCGCATCTTCTTAAATTAATAGAGTTGTTCAGAATGGTAAAGTTCATTTTCATTTCTAAAGTAAAAATGAAGTCATTAAGACATTTATTAGAGAGTAGTAGTTATGCCGAGATTCTCAAAATATCATTAATTAAGGAGATTCAAGTACATTGTATGGATTCTTGTTGTTGTAACTGAGGATGCAAGAGGGAATATTTTATTGCTTGTGTTGAGACTGAGCTTATTAAAAACTCATGTTTTTTTAAATGAGTTGAGTCTTCCGCAGTTGTAAATGTTACTTTCGTTTCTGAAGAATAGAATCCTTAATATATTTGTTTAGGAGGAGAAATTATATTTCTATGAGTTTCTCATAGAAATATGAAGGCGATTTACTTACACTGTATGACTTGCTTTTCTGAACTGAGTTTGTAAGTCAGAATACTTTCTTTTATGGCATTACTGACTGGGACTTTAAAGAAGTAAAAGTTTAGGTAAGAAAAATAACTTTCTTGTTTTATTTGTAGGGATTAGGTACATACGCATTAGGTACTTTAAAGTTTAGAAACAATCTAGTGTCTTAATTTTACCTTTATTATAATTATCTTTATTATTAAAGAAATAATTTTTCTGTAAAGGCAAAATGTTTAGGCTGCTAAATGCTTTTTCTTTTTATTCTTTTTATTTTTTAAATTTCCAATGGCTATTCAAAAAGTTTTAAAAAACTCTTCAGAATCGCAAATAGGATCGGTTGAAATACCTATGCGGTGCAGATGGGCTGCAAGGCAATCATACCTTATAGACAGACGGAAAGTCGTAGCTGCATTGCGTCTTAGGAATAAGAGTACTTAACCACCTCCAACTTTTGAAGGCCGTACAATCCTGAAAATCTTGTAAGATTTTAGCTACTAAAAGTTAAAAAAGTTAGATAAGCATCAGCTAGGAGAATTTCGCAGGTAATTCACTAAAAAAGGACTACTTTTAATTTTTTTAATTTAAAATTTAAAATTCCTTGTGCACCACATAGTATTGCACAAGACTTACAGAGGTCAGTAAGAGAAATAAACAAATACAACAACACAACACGAAATAAAATAAACTTACAAATTCGCAGATGACACGTAAGAGATAAATTTACAGGAGAAAGAGAAAGCCATTTTATATTGGACAAATACGTGAAGAGGGGGAGGAAATGTAATATTCACAGAGTTTAACCTAGAAATGAGTTCCTTTCGTCCTTCCTTGAGCTTTGAACAATAGAACAACAACATCTTGCACTCCCTCGAAACTGCATGAACACAAGTCTGTACTATATAATCTAAATCTCTTCAGATATGAATTGAATTTACCATGTCCAGTTAGAAATTGACTAACTTCAAAATTTCAGAAAAAGTGTTTATTATTTATTCAATCTGTGAGAAATGAAAGGAAAATATAGTTTAGTCAAAGAGGCAGTAGTAGAATTCCTGTATAGTTCATTCCACTTGAGTATTGTATCATCCCTATTTTTGTTCTTATAAAATGACTTGGGAAGTAGCATTGGAGTAATTATTTGAAGATGTGTAGCTTCTTTTGCCAACCAATCAGCCCTTTCATTTTCTAGACTGCCAGTGTGGCCACATACAAGAGAAAAAATAGTATCAACACCTTTATTATTAAGATCTTTATGAAGGGCATGAGAAGTGACAATTAATTTATTACATGAAAAGATATTCCTAAGAGAATATAAGGATGAAAGAGAATCAGTGCGAATAAGAAATTAAGCATTTAGTGAACAGTTGTTAGATATCCATTTAATTGATTCACTAATGCACAGTAATTCGGCTTGGAAAACACTGCATTATTAGGAATTCTAAAGAGTTTGTATTCCAGTTCAGAACCATGATGGAAAGCGACATAAGCTAATCAACTCGATTGTAATTTTACTGCCATCTGTATAATACAACGGGAAATTATCATCAACAGAATTGTCATAAATGATAGTTTAAATTGGCAAACGATTGGCAGGATAGGGAGATCTTCAAATAACACCTTGGTATCGAACATAAATTTCCTGATGGTATCTTTAAACTTTTTGTCATTTAAAAACATGAAGTCAATCGGAGAAAATCCTGAATTGCGAAACATGCTTCATAGCTAATGTTCTGTAGCCATGGACAACTCTAGTAAATTCTTCTTGACTTCTGCAAGTATACGGGAATTAATCTTCTTTTCTAAAGCTGTTCCCCACACTTTAGAAGCATAACAAATAAAGAGGATAATACCCTGCTTATAAATCATATCAATAACATTATATTTTAAACCAAACTATTGTAAGAGACAAGATTAAGTCCTCTAAGTATATTTTCCCACTTATTGGATAAATACATTATATGACTATTACTTATTGGATAAATACATATTATGACTAAAAAGGACTATTAGGGCGAAATTTATAATTGTTGCAAAAGTTTTAAAGCAAATACTTTAGAAATTACAAACAGGAAAAGAAAGCAACACAGAATTCCAGAATAGCTCCCGGTAGCCAATCTTATTGGCAATTCCATTAAAAAAATCTGTTTAAAAATGCTTCCGTTACGCAGAAAGTGCTACAAAAGCGTAAAAAGACACTATAAAGCGTCACAATAAAGACAGAAACAGCTTACTTGATCATCTTATCACCTGGTATGATACGTGTTGCCATCATTTTATCCGATGATTTTTATGGTACTAGATAACAATTTGACAAGAACCGATATATACAGAATAAGACATATCAGCGAAGTTACTGCACTAAGATTGCAGTTAAGAAAATATAAGTCTTGAGCAACATTCTCCATGATATCCGCTTTTCTGCCACATATGACGTTTCGTAAAAGGTTAAGTGTCTTTAGTTTTTACTAAAAATTATTTTAATAAAAATTCGGAAATATTTTGCATAACCTAGAGTGGTAACAAAAAAATATCAATTATGGGGAACTCTTCTTTTCACAGATGAGTACCGATTCAGTTTAATCAGTGCGTCTCGACTTACCTTCACCTAAGCCAGTAACTTGTTATCTTTCTTTCAATATGCAAGAAAATGACCAGTATGATAGCGATGATTTATGATCTCTGTAAGCATCATTTTAGAAAGACACGCAAAACCTTCATGTCCGTAATAGTGGTTCTTGTTTGCTAACATGTATAACGAAAATACCTTAGATCTCTATGCTTACCTTATGATGCAGTTGCCCCTCAGTTTATTTTTATAGACAACAACTGTGCTAATCTAGTGGATGACAACAACAGGGCTAATCTGGTGGATGACTTGAAAGTGAAGATATTAATCGGATGGATTGGCTAGCCAGACCACAAGACTTAACCCCTACAGAGCATGTCTGAATCGCTCTTGTAAGGTCTTTCTCCTCCTGGGAATGATTGCCATATGGACTCACACACTACTTCATTTTCAGTATGAAGTCACATAGTGAGAGCCGCATACCTGGGAACATACACCCTTATTAATATCATTTTTGTTTAATCTTGCAGTCTCTATATTAGACCTCCCTTACACATGATGATGCTTATGTACCATGATTTATGCCTGTTATAGTATTTTTTATATTACATCAATGTAAGGAGTTACCATATTTCATTAAAATCTGTCCATCAGTTCTGGAAATTATGGAACAAAAGAGGAAATTCTATTAATTGCGAACACCATAGAAGTTCAAATGTTTCTTATTTTCATCGAACAATTTCAATCCTTGTAAACACTGAACTGAAATTTTCATTGGGTTTGAAATCAGGAATTTTTTCATTTACTTCTTTTCGAAGTTACATTTTCTTTCTTAACAAAAAGAGCCCTGCAAAATCTTTTATCCTGTTTATTTACCCCTATTTTGATCACTGTGTAATCTTCTCTTAAATTTCCAGGCCCTTTGCGTGCTAGGTCTTTTAGTTGATCACATGCGTATTAGTTTTTAGACTTATTTCTGATTTAGAGTTACTATCGCTCAGAAGTGGTAAGATATAGTTTGAATCAGTGTTCGAGGTAAACGAGAACTCTTTCCGCTTTCTTGGAGTTTCAGAAAATAATCAAAAACATGTCATTTTGTTTCCTTTAACCGATTGTCTTGAACTATGGTATTCTCTAAGAAGAAAATTAAATTATTTTGCATCGAATATTTTTGTTTCGATTACAGTTATTCACATAACCTATCACTTTAAATTAGTTTCAATTTTTTTAGTTTTCTTAACTTGCAATTATAGTTCTATGATTTTTTTAGTCTTTGTGAAAAATTAACTTTGTCTCGTTAATGTCTAGCCATTAAACCTTTTCATATTAAACGAAGAGAGTAATATCTGCTGCTTTTTCCCCTAATAGATTGATTAAAATTGCTTTGCCATCATATGCTCTTTCATGGATTTCGCATAAGAATGCTGTTTCTAATGATACAAAGAACAGGCTCTAGAATTCTTGTTTCGTTGTAACCAGAGCCCGGATATTTTAATTAAGTTTCCAAGCGACACTCCTTCATTTTGTGTTCTACTACCAATCGCCTTTCTTCGTTATTATTAAGTTGTGCCACATCTGTGACAAGAA